CAAGGGCTTTTGGATCTGTCTCAGCCTGAGGAGAGACAATAAAACAGGTACCAACCACACTGGGAGGGAGTAGAGCTCACTGAAAAGCCGAAGTGGAGAAAGAAGCTCAAGTGAACCCATCTAGGGAAAAGAGGCACCTCTGGAATGCAAAAAGGTTTAAACAAAACTGAGGGGGCTGTTTTTAAAGCAAAAGCAAATGCAGGCCCTTGAGAAAGCATCCATTTGGCTGGAGTTTGAAAAATTTGATTTCTGTTTATTCTCTTTGATGGTGGGTTGCTAGGGATGGGGAGGGAATTTCAGGAATACCTGAAAACAAAAATTGACAATACTGGTACTTTCACTAGTTGTGTTTTATGTAGCCATGTAGCTCACACAGAATCAAAAACTATATAAATGGTTCAAATACTACTAGAGGGTATTTGATTTAGTAAATCTTAATTTCCACTTGAGGAAATTAAGCACCCTAAGGGCTGTAGTACCTCTTATTATCTGCTTGTAAAAGTGCAAAAAATGAAAAAGAGTACTGCCTCTGACTTCAAAAGTAATATGACTTGAAAAATATGCACTGATTAAAAATAAACGCCTTTCACACGTACATTATTATTTTAATATTAAGTTATCAAATACAGCCAAAGCATACAGCAGGACCATCAGGGACTGTTCATGGCTCATTGCTTCCTCCTCTAGGTCTTTGATATTTACAGATATAAGTAGATAAAATTGATATTTATATATATAAATAGAGAGAGAGAGAGACAGAGAGAGAGACTTATATCCCTCTAAAATGGGAATACCTCTGGACAAGTTAATGGGAGCATTATAAACTCAAGAGTTTCTTTTTTATTATCCTGAAGACTAGAGAAGCTGAATTTGAATAAGGTCCTTGGGAACAAGGAAATGTGGTGTTCTGACCTGATATCAGTGTCCTTCTGCTACGATTTTTTCCCTTCATAAAAGTAATTTGATAATTTTACTGGATATCACAGGGATTATTTCTCTTTCATGGAAACCTCCCAGCACAGAGTATATGAACTGTTGCAAAGGGTTTGGAGATGTAGAGTGCTAGGGGTGTAATTACCTGAAATTAGTGTGGCTGAAAAAAATCCAGAATGTTCAACTTCTGTAAAAAGACCTTCAACCAGAATAAAAGAACAGAGTCTTATACCAAGAATATTAAAGCTTAGGAGTGGCTCTGTTTGACTAAGAAAATACCATTAGAACCAAGTATTTATGACTAAACACACTTGAATAGAAAACATGCAGAGAAACCTCTTGGTAGTTCATTTGTCAAAAGCTGGCTGAACTGTAGCTTCGTAATAATTATGTACTGGAGATCACAGCCAGAGAAGTGGTAACCACAAACTGACTTCCTCATTCCTCCCCCTTCCTCCAGGAGTGGTTTGGATTAGGTAGTCAGCTGAAATTTCCAAAGCACATATTTTCTTACCATGCTGCTGTGACCCATCTCCAGGTACTTCTTGCTTAGATTCCCACAAAATACCTCTTTCCCCTCCTTTTTTTTTATGGAATGAGGAGTTTGTTAAGGCACTGCCTTAGTAAAATCCTTGCCAAGTGCGTGTGCACACATGCACAAAGAGGAAAGCAACTCCTGCCCTGAAAAAAAGACAAGTGGGCACTGTTGAATGCAATCCAACAACTCTGCGGTTGCTTGTCCCAAACAACAGATATTCTGTATCACCTCCTATTAACAAACAAAAGACTTTTTCCCACGCCATTATATATTTACATTAGCCTACTCTTCAAGCTTGGCATGTTGGCTTCCTAAGACTATTTGATCCCAGATTCAGCTCTGTGCCAGAATTGCTGGAACAAAATGCAGTGGGTGGACAAACCTGTCCTGCTGCATTGCTTGTGGCCTCTTGAGAACAGAAAGCATTTCTGTGAGTCATTACTGTAAAGGTACTCGCAGGGCATTCCCCTGATGGTTCTCTGGCTGGAAGCGCCTGCGTCTGCTCAAAAGGTTACCACGGGTGCACAGCCAGTCATATCATGACACATTTGTTGGTATCAGCCAGGGGCAAATATTAAGTAGCTTATCTCCTAAAGAGGGAGATAAGGAAGCAGGGCTGTGAGGCGCTTGCCAATAAACGTGTATCCATCACAGCTGTGTATCCATCACAGCTGTCGCTCCGTGTGCTGCAGCAACCACGCCGGGTATCCAACCAAAACCAGGACATATGAGCTGCTGCCCTGACTGTGGGCTCCTGCTCGGCCTTTGGCAGGGGATATAGAACTAAACTAGGCTGTCCTCTGTTCCTAGGTGAAGAGGACAGAGATTTCACACATCTCCACTTTCTGCAACTGCAAAATCTTAGAATCACAGAATGGTTTGAGCTGGAAGGGCCATTAAAAATCATCTAGACCCAACACCCCTGCTACTTCTGGCTTTACTTGAGACCTACAAAGAATTAAAAACCCACTACAAATAAAAGAAGGAAGTCTTATGATGTGTTATTGTGGTACTGATGACACAGATATCTGGAAGAAAATGCAGAAAGTTTCCTGTATTTCAGTGAGAGGCACAAAATCCACTTGCCGTGAAAAGGGAAGATTGAGGAAGGAGTTTACAGAAATTCCTCTTAATATCTGCAGTTGAGTATTTTTCAGATATGCACACACATACGTTTATGTAATACTTTGTGTTTACATATGTACATGTGCATGGAAATACATATATGATATGTGTGCATTTGAGGTTTTTTATCTAGGATACAGTATGCAAATCGAAGAGTGCATTTTTTCCTCTCTGGGTATGCTAATTCTTTTAAATATCATAGAATTATAGAATCACAGAATATCCTGAGTTGAAAGGGACCCATAAGGATCATCCAAGTCCAGCTCTGGGCCCTGCACAGTCCCAACACTCCCACCCTGTCCCTGAGGGCATTGTCCAAACCCTCCTTGAGCTCTGGCAGCCTTGGGGCCAAGCCCATTGCCCTGGGGAGCCTGTTCAGTGCCAACCACCCTCTGGAGGAAGAACCCTTTCCTGAGATCCAACCTAACCCTCCTGTTATGTATATATTTCTGTGTCTTTAAAAGAATGTTATACGTACCTCAGAAGGTGCTGAGACAAGTACCCACGTTCTGTGTGACATTTAGTGCTATGGAAATGCATGATGGTTAAATTCCACTGCATGATGGTTAAATTCCACTGCCTCTTGAACAAGCCTATCCTGGAGGCTGAACTCGGCTTCAGTGACATGGTGCAGTCCTTACAGGTGATTGGGATGTGCCTGCTGTGCTCCAGAACAGCAGCCTGGATGCACTCTGGTGAAAGAACTGGGAGAAGGTTGGACACCCATTGTTAGACACCCACTGGGATCCTTCACAACTACAATACTACTAAAGGTTCACCCCTTGGATTAGAGATCTCTGCACAGCACATGTGTTCAGAGGAATTCAAAATCATAAATAATCGGCTGTGTGGAAAACTGCTCCAGTCAAATCACTGGATAATTGTCTGCCTTTTGACAATTCTCTTTGAAATCATTTCTGCAGGGAAATATTCCATGCATAAAATCAGGAGTCAGAGATTGGTTGGAGGAGATGAGAGCAGGGTGGCAGTAAAAAGGAAAAGCAAAGCCAATTTCACTGACATAACAGAGCATCTATTCCACAACACATAAAATAATAATGCTTGCAGTTAAAAAAGCCTAAGGAAAATGAATTAATGCCCAAGAGTAGCTGAGGCAAATGGTAGAGGGGAATTGAAAGTTCATTCACACAACACCAATTTTGGTGCTAAATTTCAGCAGATAAATTATCTAGCATGTCTCCCTGGAGTTCTTCTCCAGTTGAGAAGGAGCAGGTCTGTCAGAGCTGAACTAAGGCCTCCTCTGGAGCAAGTTTGTTCCCCCTATTGTAGAGGGCCTCCAGAGAGGCTGTCAGTTCCCTTAGCCCATCTTTTAATCTGAGTGGTGTGAATAGTCTTCAAAATGCCTTTGGGTTTCCCTTTACCCAAAGACTGAGGGAATGCTCCTTTTCATTCTCAGCCACAGGAATTAAACAATAAGATCAAAATCTTGTAATCTCCTTGGGAATTCCTTTTAGTTGTATGGGATCTAAATGCAAGGTTTCCTCTAAATTGCTGGGCAAATGAAGGCAGAGGCCAATCATACAGCTGGCTTTCCATGCAAACATTTCCAGTGTCTGCTGTGGCTGCCAATTGTTTGGGATCACCTATGAAACAAATTTTTTAATCAGTTTTAATACTAGGCACAAGTTTAAGTGTCATTAAGCTGTTTTTTTATTGATCTTATGATCTGTTTGCATCAAGAACAGGAGGACCTGGGAACAAAGCAAACTTTAGCGTTTCAGGTTTTTTGGCCTTTCATAGCATTAACTTACGAAAAGGATTATTGAAATAGACTCACACTGGGGTCTCCAAACAGATAGTATTTAATGTATTGCTTTCAGTAAAAACAGTAGGAGTCAGGTTTTGAGTTTACAGCAGTGTTATTAACTCTGTCTCAGTGCTCTGTGGAACACAACCACCATGTATTATGGGAAAATTGCCATCTTTATTCTTCACCAAACAAATCTCTTAAAGCACATATATCTTCTGCAGGAATGCACAGGGGGGAAACCCTAAATCTTCATTTTAAAAATTAGATGCAAATTTTAAATTTACAAATGCAGGTCACCTGTCAGATAATGATCCCCTACAATTTCCTAATAGCAGGTAAAACTCCAAAAAGAAAATACTCGCCAGCTTTTGGCTGTGCTTGTTCCAGTCTGGATGTGCAGGGATGCAGATGAGGACTTTGGATTCGAGGGAAAATGAGTTTGAGGGTGAAGGTCAGCTACAATGCAGTTTGTTTTGCATGTAGGAGGTTTCTTACAATCTCAGTATCCCAAACTGAAATTGCTTACAACTTTCCCTGCCTTTCCAACTTTGATGCCTCTCCCCTTAGGCACAGTTTTTGTTGTGTACATCCCACATCTCCTGTGGCTGTCACAGAAGAATATTGGGCCTTCACTGCACCACTCACTGCAGCGCCCTCGCTGTGGGAACTGTCACTGCAACAAAGGGCTCAGGGGTTGGGAAGGAAACGTGCAGTCACTGTCTAGTTATGAAAATTGTTGTGAATGCAAATGATCTGTAGCTTTATAGAAAGTGTTTTCTGCTGAACACCAACTGTGCCTTCCACAGTGAAAGGCACACTGAGCTATTTGCATGGGAAAGCTGCTACAAGGGAAGGTCCTGATTTGTTACTTTCAGCATCACTTCGGGGGCTTAACCTTAAACTAAGAAAGAAACCTGTGGAAATATGATTAAAACTTTAGGGGACCTACTCACAACATGCTTTAGATTTGTTAAAGGATTTGCAAATCTTTTGATGGGTTTTGTGTACTTTCCAGATGTCATTGTAGAAACGAATGTAATATTACCATGTGCTATAAAAACTTCCTGCAGCTCTATTAACAAGTTTCCCATGATGTAATTAGAAAGAAGGCGCAGTGTTTTCTTTGGCATCTGTGGGTAAAATGCTGTGCATAGTTATGCTGCTATAAACCCAGGCCAACTCAGTTCATTTTAATGAAGTTATTTTGGACTTAGTTCATGTAGAATTTGGCTATACCTCTATCTATATCTGGATATCTCCCCTGAGGGGTAAATACAGCAAATGTTGTACATTTTCTTTAGATTTTGTATAGGAAGACGCTATTCTCAGTATCAAGGAGGTTGCTACTATTCTGACCAAGGTAAATGCTGTGAAATCTTTCAGGTGTGCCCATAACTTTCTTGAATAATCCAGAGCATGTGTAAGTGCCTCAGCCAGGGCCTTCAAGCCTCTTCTCTACACTTCTTATTCCTCTCTGCTTGCTATTCTGTTATGTGAGGTTCATGGTCAAGAACCATTTTGGAGTTGGAGGCCACATTTCTATCACAAATCATTTATTTTCTTTCACAAAAAATGTATCTTCTTCTCACTGCAGCCAACTAAAGTCTGTGGTGGTCACACTTGGTGCTTGTGCCAGTTCCTCTGTACACTGGTGTAGGTAGCTGGCTTTGGACTGTGATACCACACACAGGCACATTCATTACTGTTTGTCACAAAACACAAAAACCGCTTTGGACTTGGAATGTGCCTGTCATTCCTCATCCAGAGAAGCCTGTACACAAATGGCCTTTGCATAAGGCCTTGTTGCCTTTTGTTTTTTCCTAAACAAACAACAAACAAAAAGAAAAGGAACTAGAAGGGGAAAAAAATAAGTTTTAATGGAAACACGTTTCATCTTTTGTTTTCTGCTTGCCATAAAACATTAACATAGTAAACAAACTGATCTTTGCTCTCAAGTTCTTTAATAAAATACAGTATTTTGAGTTTTGTCATGGTTAAGCTATGGTTAAACCACGTGTTGCTGGTCACATTCCAACCTCTCTTGTCACAGCTCTTTGACATCAAATTACATTTTTCAAAATAAAAGTTGCGTGTAACTCAATTCTGTTCAGACACCTTTGTTAAAAGGTCACATTTGGGGTACATTAGTGGTTATGGTGTTTTCTGACCAAAACTGCTTCTCCTTGGGGCATATTTCAAAGTCCAAGCATTCCCATGGTCATCCCTGCTTTGTGCCAACAGCACCTTTGGGAATGCTGCATCCCCAAGCCTCCATAGGATGCTTTGAAACATTATATTCTAAGCTGCTAACCCAATCATAGGACTTACAGTGGTCTTAAAATAGCAGACAGAGATATTTGAAATAGGGGCATGGATAGAAGAGAGAAAGTGTCACTTTGGTCCACTTTTCAGAGTGGTTGGTGTTATAATATATAACCTTTTCTTTCTTTTTTTAACGCAGTGTAGTTTGCAATAATTTAAAATACTCTATAGACATTTAAACGATATACAATAATATAACTTAATTGGATTCCTCAATTGTACTTAACAAATACTATTCTAATATATTTACAGTATCTAGTACCATAAGACTGTGCATTACTGTGTTTGGGAGCTTTATTTGCTTCCTGTCAAGAATGTAGTGAAAGTACAGTATATCACTATGATTCAACAACAATACCCATGAATCAAAGGGACTTTAAATTACATGGGGTGACTCTAGTATGTTGGGGGCCCTTTATGACTTCTGTGAAGTTGCACTTGTTCATGCCAAGGCTGGTATTTAGAAACCAACAGTAACATCAGAAAAAGAGAACAGTTTTATATTGCTCCTTGGGAGACTCATTCAAGGGTTCTGATTTTCAGAGAGTAAGTTCTTGGGGTCAGAAAGGCAGGTCCTCACGAGTGTTCGAATGAAGATCCCCAAGTCATAGGTTACTTTTGATAATACAGGTCCACAAATTCCAGAGGTAATTCTGGCTCATTCTCAAATCCAGCATGGGAGCAGGTGGAGCAGTAGATCCACCAGCCCCTGGTCCCAGGAGCACCACGTGGAATGACAAGTGCTTCCATGCCAGGTGGGGAGGGCTCATGGCTGTGCAGCCTCTCAATAAAAGTAACAGAATGAAGCAAATGCTAGAGAGGCAGATGTGCAGATGTAAGGAAACTTTTAATCCAAGTTTTCAGAAAATCAGTTCAGGACCCTTGGGACAAGCAAACATTTATGTTTTTAAATGGGCTGTGTTACAGGTGGGCATATCTGGCTCTTGGGGTTAAAAACACTAGATTTTACAGTAGTAAAATATCTGAGGAGTTTTTAAAAATCTCTCGTAGGGACAAGATGTATGAATTAGGAGGAGTGCTCTGTAAGAAGTAAGCTTCTTTCTTAACATTCATGGATTTACCAGGGGCACGGTGTTGCCAACTTTAGAATAACGGTGACACAGACTAACCCAAATTTTAGCTGTCTTATGCTCATGAAGCCACCACAGGTCTAGGTTGCAGCAACCTAGAGCTCAGCTGGCATACTTCTATCAACTTCTGAGTGCATACTGAGCGTAAGTCATTTAAAACTCTTGGAATATTAACTTTCAACCATTACAGGCAAAGTGCGATGGAAGATCCTGCCAGTGCATTTGACAGCAAAGCAAACCCTCTGATATTTGTCCAAGCATGTCTTTATATCCTGAAACTCCCTACGAGGAGCCGAGAGCAGGCTCTCCACACCTCAGGCCTGAGTCTAAAAAAAGTCATTCTTATTCAGGAGGCAAGTGGGAAAAGTCTTTATCAAACATTTGTAACCACAGTTTCATGTGATGCTTTTGCTCAGTTCTGGTAATTGCTTAAGGCCTACAGTAATTGAACTCTAATAGTGGAGTGACAACAGATCAGTAGCATTGAAGAACTTAGGGAGAACCAAATACAAAAGTCATAAAATCAGAGTTCCAATAAGTTTACATTTAGTACAGAATTAAGACATAGCTACCCGTTAGTGCTTAGAATTTTTTGATACTATTAAAAACATAAATAATTATTTTTAATGTTCATTCAAAGAGTTCCAGTGTCACTGGCAGCTGATGTAATTTTGTGAACATTTGTTGCTTTTTTTTCCAAACTGATAGTGGAGTATTTCTGCCATAGGTTTTGCTCCCTACCAGTTGTTTTTTCTCTCTACATGCTTTCTTAGGATTTAGGTTTTTGCAGCAAGACTGCTGCGTTCTAGTCAGTGAAGATTTCATTTTCTTAAAAAAAAAAAAAGTCTTTGTTTGCACAGGACTCGACAGTTTAGTTGCTGTAAAATAGGAAAAAGTGTCTTTTTCTTTTAAATGTCGTGGGAACTGCAATGCAATCAGCTTCTCTGATATGTATAACTTAAAACACTAAGAGAACTCTACAACACCCAGATTGTAGTTTAAAAAAAAAAAAAAAGAAAGAGAAAGTTTCATGTGGTTGTCAACATCACCTTAATCCTGTTGCCCTTGTTTCCAAAGCAGTTACAACAGCCAGCCAGCCAAAATGCACCATCCTTAGAGGTGTGGGTAGTAGTGGGGAGAGAGTGGTTGTGTGTTGGCCGGGGTTCTGTCCCCAGTGTGAGATGTGCAAAGGATGCTGGGGTGTGTTGTGCTCCCCTCTCGTGGCTCGCGGGGTTCGCTGCGTGGCTCGCGCGGGGCCGTTATTTGCAGGTGAACACCTCTGTCCGCTCGCTGCACGTGTTGCACTTCACAAAGCAGCACCAGTGGAATTTGCAGTTACACTGCCACACCTTGGTGTACTGGTGCGTGTTGTACCCCCGCCCGCAGCACATCATGTCGCACCCGTCCGCGCTGGGAGACGTGCGGTTGCAGAGCCGGCCCTGGGTCCCGACACTCCCTGTGGAAGCGTCTTCCTCACAGTAGTTAGGTGACTTTTCAATGTACACTAAATCCGTTTCCATGGGTTTCTGGTAGCTCTTAATCTGCTTGATCTTCAGGAAGGTTGGCTGTCTTAGTCTACTGGCTCGTACCACCTCCACCTGCACTGCAGCATTGTATTTCTCTTTCAAAATATATCCAATCTCTCTGAATTTAGGAAGTGTTGTCCAGCAGGTCTTGGTTGTACAGGAGCCTGAAACTCCGTGACACTTGCACTCCAGTTTCATCCTCTCTTCGAGAACCTGTGTGTACAGACATTTGCATATTGATACTGCAGGAAAACAGTATTGCAAGCTTGCCTAAACCTCAGTCTGTTTAGTTCATATCAATGTTCATTATTGCTGGTTGAGATTTTTTTAATGCATGCTGATAAATCTTCTCACCTCCCAACAGAATGCTCATAACACATTTAGTTGTAGTGGCATCTGTTTGGAAATACAGTGTTTTGTCACTTTGTTGGAAAGCATTTCTGTTCTGTTTCCAAACATTGGAGAATATTTCCTCCAATTTCAGAAAGCATGTCTTTAGAGCCAAAGGGAACTTAAAATTTTACAAACCATTTTCATTTTGAAAACAGGGGGGGAAAAAAAAGTGGAATTCTTTTTAGGTGCCATAAGATACAGAATACTTAATTGCTTTAAGTAATGATCAAAGAATGTTTAAAAAATTTTGACACAACAGTACACATTGTGTAGCTGAACAGGCATATATGCAGGAGGGCTGCAACTAGAGGATCTTTAAGGTCCCTTCCAACCCACTGTGTGATTCTGGGATTCTATATTCACTGCATAATTAAAAACTTTGCCTTTATACCTATACCTATACTGGCACTGGTAAACTTACTGACTATTCCACCCGGAGTGCCCCATCCCCTTTAAAAGCAGCACTCCTTGCAGTACTCAGTCCAACTATAAAGCAAAGGATCAGCCACAGGGCAATGATTGTGCAACATTAGAGGGACAAAACCTCCACTGAAGGGTCCTGCTCAGCAGTGAGCCAAGGAGAACTGGGAGCATGTATTAGTGCCAGTGATCCAGGAAGTTCATCTGGAGTGGGTTAATCCACTGTCAGGTGGTCACTGGAAGGGACCCAAACTGGTGGGTGCTTGTGCTGCATTCCCACCCTCCCATTTTTGCTCTATTCCAGCCCCTCCAGGACTGTCACACTGGTCCCTCCTTTCCTGGGAAGGTGGAGTGTGTCCCGGGAAGGTGAGGTGTGTGCCCAGGGAAGGTGGGGTGTGTCCCAGGGGAAGGCAGGTGGGATGTGTGCCGGGGAAGGCAGCCGATGCCCTCCCACTCTGTGCGCGGCGGGGGCAAAACCAGCCTCACGGAAACGCCTCCCTGTTTTTCCTCCCTCGCGTTCCCACTTAAGCCTGACCATAATTACAGCCACAGTCATCATTAGCTTATGAAAATCAGGGCCCAAGAACAAAGCGAACTGATCTCTCCCCCTCGCACTGGGATGCTCACACAGAAATCCGAGCTCCCGAGCCTGTCTGAGAGCATTACTGATGCTGCAGACCATCTCCTGTAGTGGTTTCGCTGTAGATCCCAGAACATGACTGAAATGGGCACAGGATGAAAGGGCCGAAATCTGAGTACAATGGTATAATGAAGTAGGAGGGAGTAAAAAATGCTTACTGCTTCAGAAACTGGCCTTAAAATAAAAGCTTTGCAGATCTGGTTATCCCTGCAAATAGAGAGCACCCTCCTGAGTTGTTTGAGTTTCACTTAAATTGTATGGTTTGTTTTTTCCAAAATTTCTGGGGTTTCAATATTAAAGAGAATATTTGGTTTGAGTTCTTCCTTGCCAACATACAGTAGCAAATATAAGATAGCTGAGCATCCTATGCAAGAACCATAGAATATCCTGAGTTGGAAGCAGCAGCAGCATTTCAGTGGCAGTGAGTAGAGGAATTCATTATGACATACCACAAGGTCTTTCAGGAGTCTCCAGTGTCTCCTTCATATCCCTTTCAGGCCTGTGCAGAAGGTCTTTTTCCAAAGACCCCCAACAAGATTTCAATCCCGTTCCACAAATCTGGGTTTAAATAATCTCTTAGTATTTAGAAGTGTTTGTAGATATGTACAGAAGTGCTTAGAAATTGTGCTTGATATTGCTGAAATATGTTTGGTTTTGTTGAAACCAACCTGCTTCTACAGCTTTCTCAAGCTTTCTTACAGCTTCTACAGCAGCTCTAAGAGCTGCAGCAAAATCCATGACAAAAGGTGGAGGGAGGAAACCTTCTCTACACCTTCGCCAAAGAACACTACGTTTTCTAGGAAAGCACTGCCAGTGGGATCTGTGAGCCCTGAGCCACCCTCCCTCAGCAGTAAATCCTATGGAGGTGTGCACCCCTTGCCATGCTCCACACGTGTTCCTGATGTCTGCATTTTGGTCAGAAAGACCAAGGCAGTAACTTACTAAGAGAGTGGAAGGAGGTGAAGTTTGTGAGGCTCCTTATTCTTCTGTGGGCTCAACGCTCCAGTCACTGTCACAAGGAACCCCTGTCTTTGCCACTGATGCGCTTCCCTGATACACTAAAAAGTGCCATTGCTCCTGAAAAACAGATACCACCCGTTCTGGTGTCCCAGGTGACGTATCTGTAAATGTATACTAATATACAGATGTCTCTCTGTGTGTATATATGTTTACCTGTGTGTGCATTTGGTTGAAATGCTGCCATTTATTTACATTATTATATACATCTATATATGATTTGCATACACTGCCTGACACCCTCTGTAGTACAATCTTCAGCAACTTTATCCTAAGTCTTGATTTACCTTTTTGTCATTGTCTTTCTGAAGGTCCAGTTTTGTGACTCATTTTGCTGAGCAGAGACCTGATTTCACTGTTGTGTTTTTTTGACAGTTCCCACTGTCTGTGATGGTGGAAGAACTTGCAAATGCAAGCCAGACAGGCTCAAAAACAGCAGCAGTTTCAAAAAGTATTAATTCATGCTCCTGAAGCCAATCTCACAGGTTTTTTTTATTTTTTTGGAGACTTCTCTCATGGATGTGGAATGTTTGGGGTTACAACACTGAGCACAGGCCCAATCATCAGGTAGTTAAATTCCTGAATGCTATAATTTGTGTGCCCACAGTCAGCTGTGGGTACAAAATTGCACCCAGAATCTTGGAGGTCAGGGAATACAAGGCCCAAACTAAGCAGATTCTAAGCAGTATTTTTCCCCCTCTTTCCACCCAGATGCTACAGAGTGTTCCATGCTGCCCAGCCAGGCTCTCCTGGAGGTATCCCTCTCTGCTGGGTGTCTCCAGCAGCTTCCCACTGCCAAGGCCTGGCTAAGGTGGCCACATCTGATCCTGTTTGCTCAAGGCTCTGAATGAAGAGCAACTAATGTTTTGCTTCCTAAATGTCCTCGGCAAAATTCCCATCACAGCTTTGACCCTGAGCCTTACAGGTACATATTTACTCAAATCTTATGCCCTGTGCCAGGCTGGGTGCTTGATTAAAGATTGAAAATCATTAGCTCGTACTCAGCAGTTCCATTTGTCAGATGTCAGTGCCTCTATCTAATCTTGAATGGTTTACAGCAAGATCTACCTCCCAGAGCAAATTCCCATCGCTGGGCTGTGCTGCCTCGGACTAATCGTAGGAACATTCCTCAGGTCCCTTTTCCACATACAGGCCCACTCCCACCCCACTGTGATTTGGCCAAGTAAAATTTTCTAACTACTGCTACTTCATTAAATGAATTGTGAAATACAGTGTTAAAGCTTTCTTAACCCCACATCTTCTTATACCTACATAAATCGCACACTGAAAATGCAATCTGAGGGCTGTCCACTGCCAGTTAAGTAGAAAAAGACTTGAGAAGACCAAAATAAAACAAAATAATGTGCATGAAAAGAGATTCATTTTTTGAAGTTCCATATCTAGACCCAACTGCATAACATCAGATACAGTTTCTGTACATATTAAAAATCCTATCTGGATAAAGTATAAAAAAACAATAGTAACATTTTGTGTGTGTGTGTTTTGGCTTGCCTTTTCTGGTTTGTGTTTTCCTTAATGGAAATGCACATTTTTGGACCAGATGTTAAATGTAACAAAATCCATACTACTTTGTGACTGCAGTATCAAAAAGAAATAGAAGACTTTAGCAGTTTTCCTCCATCAAATATGCGAGTGATCAGCTTTTGTTTGGGGTACTGGCTACCAAGAGAGCCGGGTGCTGGTCACAGGGTGTCACCTCTCCTTTAATTCTCACGCAGTTGATCTCATGGACCCATCTGGGAATCCAAGTGGGGTTTGTTTCCATTTATTCTTTTAACTTGGATAGGCAGGGGTGTAACTAACATTACTAGGGTCTGATGCTGCTCCTCTAATACAAATGTCCTGAAATTACTCTTTGTTAATAGCAGACCATAGAGCCCAGAACTGAGCAGTTCATGCCATGTCTCCCCGAAGAGAAGACGTGGAGCCAGCAGGAGAGGAACAAGGGTGCTTCAGCTGCATAGCTTTCTTTCTGCTCCTCTGTGAGGATGCTCTGTGATGCTCCATGGAGCATCAAACAATATTTATACTCTGTGGGATGAGAAATGAGGAACTGAATTCCTGTGCTTACTGCTTCTCTTGTCATCCCTATTTTTCTTATGGATTACTTCGATGGAAACAGGGACCCTCTGCCTTGCAGGGGTCAGTATCCAGTCCCAGCAGGAGGTGTTTTTTCCCTGGCACTGGCCAGAGCTCATCACCCTCACAGGTGCCAAGAGGTATCAGTTCACCTCCTCCTGGCCTCCACCTGCCTCCCTGACACCATCTTCCACAGAATCCCAACTTAATGCATTCAAAATAGAGGGTGTTCCACCACTCTCTGTACACAAATTCTCCTCCTGGCTGCCAGGAAAATTAACCTGGGATTTTGGGACCTGCTGCCTATCACATGGAAGTCTGTACTGTTGTGAGGATGAACAGTAACCTAATCCATCAGTGTCTCTTCCCTGCCTTCTAGAAAAGAGAAAACAGCTGCTATAATTGAGCAATAAACTGCTGCAATTGGTTAAAACTTTCAGAATTTTATTTTTACAGTGAAATGTTGCAAAAAGCCATAATCTTCAGAAGCACCCTCCCAATCATCCCCAAACCAAGTGTGATTGCAGTGTTTCACTCTCTTTTCTATGGAATTTGTTGTAAAGTTTGAAGGTAAAATTTTAAGTATCATCTGAAATAGTTAAAAATATTTCATTGATAGTTTTATTCTTTCAAGCAGAATAGATATGTCAGGTTTGAGAGCGTGTAGTGGTATTTTACTGGATGGATGATCTCTGTCTTGCACACATTGCATGGTGTGCATGGGCATGCACATTTCTTGAATAAAACCAGTTAGCAAGTCCTAAAATATTTGGCTCTTACCCCCTCTAATTTTAAAGCAAAATGTTCAAAAAGTAGGATAGCACCAGATGTAGCTTCTGGCAGTCAATGTTAAGGGTGTGTTTCTGGAAGAAAAAAATAGTCTAGTAAACGCAGCCCAACTGGAAGCAGGAGATCTATTCTCAGGAGGTTTTGAGCCAAAGCATATTCAGGACATATGGATAAGCTGTAGTTATCCATCCAACCCACCCAAGCTGTAGCACCAAACTTTTGAAATTGGATTTATATCTGTCTGCAAATCAGTTTAAGTGGGAAAGTGGAAAGTGTGGCATGAAGCACAATTATGGGAAGCTTTTCTTTTGTGAGTGTTCTCTCAAAGGGTGTGCAGTGAAATAATTTGCTGCTTTTAAAGAAAGAAACTTTCAGCAAATGATGGACTCAGGGCTGTAAAACCTGGAAAGTCACATTCTTTGCATCGCTGAAATTACTTAGGAAACAAAGTCACATTTTAAAGAATATTTTAGGCTTATAAGAGCATAAAATTTATTGGGTTTCACATTTGAAACTAGGATTCAGACTCCACTGTGACTTAGGAGCATTTTATCCAGAGTCTTTTTGTGGGCATTGTCTCTGCCCCCCTGTGCTGTCAGGTGGCAGTGAGGGCAGCCTGCAGCAGCTGAGGGCATGCTGTGCATCTGCCAGGACCCAGCTGAGCAATTAAAATGTTTCATGGGACCTGCAGGGACCTGACACTGTCTTACATATTGTAATACCTGTAGTGCAAACAGTACATATAAATATGTGTAAATATCCATAATTGCGTGCACACACACGCTCCATATATTTATGTCTCTGTGTGGATGTATATATATAATGAATAGTGACCAACAAATCACCTCATTAGCTGTTCCACAGACAAAGCAAGTCAGCAAAAAACCCCTTCCCAGTACCACAGTCCTGTGGCACCAGGAACTGTGAGAACAAGCCATGGCTGAGATGGAAATGTTGTCCCAAGTAATTGAATAATCTCTTCTGAAGAGAGCCTGAATTAGTTGTTTTTTCCCCACACTCTTATTGTTTCAAAAAAAAAAAAAAAAAAAAAAAAAAAAAAAAGCTGTTGTCATCTTCCAAGCACTCCAAAAAAACAACAAGAAAAAGCCACTGCCATTCCAAAGGAATAACTATTGGAATGGTATCAGGCTGAGTTTCTGGCAGTCAGTGTGATGGTTGTTCTGGAAGGGAAAGGAATAGGCCAGCTTGTTCTGCACATAACCACAGTCACTGCCTATCAGAAGAGCCTAATTGATTGATAAACTGTTACAAAAATTTCTTTTCCTCTTTTTGGTAAAAGCTGCGATCTGCTACCAATTTGTCAGCTTGTTCTTTTAACTCACCCCTTAAAAACAAACAAACAGAACCCCCCATTTTTATAAATGAGATTCCTCGTGAGAGACAGTCATTGTTTTGAAGCTTTCAACAAAAAAATAAGATTAATGGTGTGTGTTCCCAGATGTTACTCTTTCTAAGTTCATTTATCCCAGAATAAAGATACTTTTTTCTAAAAATACATGGTAGAAAGCTGCTTCATAAAACAGCATCAAAGCTGACTTGGTTTTGTTGGTATTTAATTTTTCATTACTGTATCAAAGTTTTGCCCACAGATCTCTCTGTAATCATTCAGATTTGCAACCAGCTGTTCTTTCAGTAACATTTGCATTAGACTTGCACTAGTCCTCCCTGGGGGCTTGTTTTCATTGACCACACTTGTACTTTCCATCCCTGCCCAGAGCGGATGTTTCAAAGCTGATGGGGAAGTTCATTCCTTTGCTCTTTCACACAGCACGGAGCCATTTGGCCACAAAACATCTTCCATCGTGTCACCACGAATCCCTATGCGTCTATTTCTTACAAATGGCACCAATGGCAAGTTTATGATTTTGTCACTGGTGCCACTTATTAAAATTTATCAAAAACTTTACAAACCTGCCATTAGCTGAAACAATTCCTAGGAATGCAATCCAGAGCCATTAGGGGATGCAATGAAGGGCAACGAGGGGGATTCCCTCATTCCACAGTCTCCAGAAATTCCCTGAAAAGCTTAAATATCATCTAACATGTTCCAAGCAGGGTGTGCATCAGGGTCTCTGTGGGGTGGCACAGGGCACACCACAGAGGGGGCCAGCTTGAGCAGGGATGGTAATGCCTCCAGCAGGAATAAATGCTCCCTGGCCAGTTTAACATTTGCCTTCCACCTTCTTTTGCCTCCAAACACAGTGCACGAGCTGAAATGCCCAGCCTAGGAGAGGCGATCAGACCTGGGGCTCGCCTTCCAACCTGGTTGTCAACTGCCATACAAGGGGCTGTTACACATGTGGCACCAAGTTTTTTTGGAAAAAAAAAAAGATTGTGACTCTCTTAAGGCTGCTTTTCTGTCTGGCTTTTCAGTGAGCTGTCTGCTGCACATCCAGAGAGCTCAGTGTCAGCCACTGTTGAAGTATCCATCCTATCTCTACACTGGAGATTGTGCCTCTCTCACCACATTGACTTTATATAGTATTTTCCTCCCAACGAACAACTGCCCATACACCACCTTCTATGTCAGTGCACAGCCAGCTGCACCTGAGTGTTAATAAGGAAAAGCCAGGCAGTAAGAGAACCGCACTGTTTCCATCACCACCAATCAGTACTCTTTGCCCAGTGCTCAGGGCACCACTGAAAACACACACTGTTTAGAGAAGGAAATTTCGGGCTGATTTTGGGGGCCAGAGGGGAAAGATTATACTGGATTGGTATACTGGGTTAGTATACTGGTGTATTGGATTCTTCTGCAGCACTGAAGGGTAGAAACACTTTGAAGGATATAGTAAAATCTCTCCTGATGTAAGTATGTATTAGGCAGAGAGATTTGTTATGCTTTTTTAAGAGCAAGCTTTGAGAGCTGTGAGGGTTGTTATTCAGTGGACATAAGTCAGCGTAGCTCCACGATGTTTATTGTTTCCATGGCACGCAACCCAGTCATGGTTGCAGACAGGAAACTGTTTCTTCTCCTGGAGTGACATTTAGGCAGCTGTTTGTGGCCCACCAGTGACAAAGTTGTGCCTTTGCTAAGAAGTGCATTGTGTATTTTTGTGTATTTCATTAGAGCTGGGGTAAAGAAAGTGTTCTGGTTTGGCCGGAATAAATAGCTACAGGTGCTGTGGAAGCTGAGCAGTGCAGACACTCACTCCTACCCCATCACAAGCCCTGACATCTCTGGCTAGATTTTAGCAAATCAGATGAAAAGCGGTGATTTATCAGTATGTCAGACAGATCCAGCAAGGTCCTCTCTGTGAGCAGGGGACTGGAAAGAAGGCTTAGGAAGCAGCAATTTTTAGAGGAGTCTCTCTAATACGTGTTCAGCCCTGAATAAAAAGAAACAGCAACAAAATGTAAACATCAGATGCCATGGGGTGACTCGATGTGGGTGCGGGACAACAGCAGAGACAGGGGTGAGTTCTCAGGGAATGCTCCTGCCACCAGCCAGCCTCCCCCCGTCCTCCAGCGCACACGGATCCCCATCCCTCGTCCTTTCTGGAATACCTTTCTTCCAGCCTCATTGTTGTGCAAGTTCATCAGCCTCCGGGCATTCTTTTTGATTTCTCGGGCATCAACAAACCTCCGGGAGAACTCAATGCCGTATCTGATATCCGCGGAGCAGCCTCCCCACTTCCAGCCCTCCTCCTGGTTGTAGTAGCCCTGTTTCTCTCGGTCACAGCCGCAATTGCTGAGGTTGCCCTGGCTGCAGGCGGCCGTGACAGCGTGTGCAACCCCGGCAGCAGTAATGGCATAGGTGAACGCGGCCTCCCTGCTTCCTGTGGAGAGAAGCCAAAAGCTGATGGGTTGGCACAAAGGCAGCACTTACTACAGAAAGTACACACATTAACTACACAAGGGTGTCGGGCAGCAGCGTGGGCAGGGCAGCACTGCTCGGTGTGTATCCCTCATTCTCACAGAATTCCACACGTAGTTACAGTGCTTGGCTCAGCTGGGCGCGGTACCCCGGGTGTGCACTCACCCCACCCTTCACAGGAGGGCAATCTGGCTCTGAGTCTGCACGCTGGGGAGGGGAGGCCACAAGGCTTGTTTTCACACTGTCTAGTCATGTTGGCAAGCTGAACTTTTTCTATCTCGGATTAATAAGAAGTTAATAGTTACCTCTAAGCATTGGCACTGCATGGAAAAAGAAATGGATTCAGACAAAAAAAAAAAAAAAAAAAAGACGGAACACAAATGGAGAGTTTATTAATCTAATTTGTAAACGCTTCAGTAGCATCCACTAGTGATACTTACTGAGTGTAAAGTATTGCAGGAGAGGCCTATAGAGACAAGAGCTGGGTAGGTTTCATGGTTCAAGATAAAGTAGACTTTACTGGCTGACTTCTCCTGTGCGCTGGTTTTGCTGTAATGACTCTTTTCCACTCCCACTCTGACTCAAACCTCTGCATTACCATGGCTTTTGAGCATACAAGGGGCATAGAAGTGCTGGGGCAGCACTATTTCCTCTCCCAAACAGGTGAGACGCTGTCACAGAAGCACAGTCTTATTAAAAAAAAAAAGTTATTTTTAGAAAAAAGTTCTTTTTCTATGATGCTGCTGCTTGCCAAGGTTCCTCCTTCCCAATTCCATGTCATAGCTGTTGACAATGAGTATATGAAGAGAGGGAAATATGCCCCCTTTCTTTACTGGTTGGCTGAGTTGCCTGTGGGGTGCAAGGAGGTACCAAAGCAGAGCCATCAGATGGAAGCTCCAGCCCATCCCTGCTCCCAGGAGAGACCCCTCTGTCACTGACTCCATGCAGAGCTGGATCATGCCCCTGCTGTTTTGCTGTCCTTACTTATAATGCTCCCCCACAAGTTCCCTTCTCAGAGCTGTCAGCATTTTCCTGTGTGTGTTTCTCTGGTGATAAACAGATGAACTTGTAGTGCTGCAGCCAAAGAATAACTGTAAAGAATTTGCAGAAAGTTGCTGAAATGCTTTAGTGACCACACACAGAGCTTTAGCATCATTAATGGATTTGGGAGGGAAAAATAAAGGAACAAATTTTCCAGAAGAGAAAAAAGAACCCCAAAACCTTAGAAGCTATTTCTAATTTTTGACTTTCAGATTCATAGATAGCACAACTCTTCTGGAATGACCAGTCCACAGCGGGGAAGGGGGGAGGTATGCCTAAAAGATTACACCCCTGCCAGATATGAGGAAGATCCTACAAGAAACTGGGTTTTGGCACCATTTACTTGTTTCTCCAAAGCAATAAAAAAGCAACTCTGGGTAAGGGAAAAACAAAAGGGTTCTACGTTCTTCAGCTCCCAGACAGGTTCAGTTGCCCTGACTGCGTAGTGCAGTGGCTGGGCTGACTTTGCTCCAGACACAGTGTGTTTTGTTGGGGTGTGCACTGTGTGCAGTCTGGTTCAGTGGCTCCCAAACCGTGGTCCACAGAACACTGGTGGTCCAGGAGGCCACGGGGAAGGGTTTGCAGCTAATCCACAGAGCCATATTAACCACTGTTTTTAATAGTGGTTTCAATTAAAACATTGGTGATAATGATGCCTGGTGGTCCATAAGAAATTCTGAGGGTTGATAGCTATCCAAAAAAGTTTGGGAACCACTGTTCTAGTTCCTAATGTGATCTCTATAAACACATCAATATTCATTCCTCCTCTTCACTCACCAGCTGAAGTCAAACCTGGAACCCATGTTTTAAAATGTGTCATGTTGACTTGCAGGATTTCTTTCTTTTTGTTTATAAATGTTCTTAGTCTATAAACTGAAGCATTGGAAATATGAGATGCAACAGAAGCTACATATGTAGACCTGTTTTCCTTTTCATCAGGCTGAGGGTAAATGAGAATGCAAAATCAGACCCAGGGAAATGTTTGGTTCAGACACCTTTGAAACACATTCTGCTTATGAACAAGCAGAAACATATTGCTGTGAGGGAACATAGCAGCTGTGACCTCCAGTTCAGAGATTAACTAGAGACAGGTTGCTCACTTTTATGTTTCAGATCAGTATATTCCTCATGTCTCCAGAGGAGATGCTGAGACATCTTATCATGGCCACTATGGCTGTGGTCTCTCCCAGGGTTTTCACACGTGTCTTTATCTTCCTTTCTGTCCTCCTGCTTCCCGTTATACCCCTGATTACCTCCAGGAATAGAGGAAAACACCTTTCCTTCACCCACTTGAGAGCTATAGCAGTGATGGAATCATCTCAAGTCATGGGATAATATCAAATGGAAAACACACTGACACTCTGAAGAGATTACTCTTCTGTTTCCACACAGCTCTAAAATAAGAAGGGCTTAAAAATAAGATCTGGCTTGAAAACCAGATTTTTTTTAGCAAGCTAAGTTTTCCTGCTAAGAATTAAGGTTTCGGGGGGGTTAGTATTTTTTTAACTAGAGGATGTTCTAAAACTTCACTTGAACTTCAGTGTAAGCATGACCTCAGCAGTTCACTAAAGTCCCAGGATCAGTGGATTTTGTCAGAAACTGCTGATGGGGGAGGGAGGGAACCTCTGGGGTCAAATAATGTGTCCGCTGTACACAAAGCTTTCCATTAGCATGTCATCACTTGGAATCAGTTCTGAGCAAGTCTTTGCTAGGCAGCTAAAAATATTTAAGTAATGATTGCTGTAATACCTGAATGGAGAATATTAATCTCATTTTATGGAATTTTCTGAGATTTCAAAAATATTCTTGTTCTGCAACAAAACAGAGACAAATCTTTCCAGAAATGTTCATGAAATGAAGACATAAATAGCGGCAGATTTGGGATTTGACTCAGCTTTGGGGCTAGATTTTTCTTTTTCCAGTGAATATCCTGGTTATTTAGTTACTTGGCACTGTATATGCTCAGTATCTGTGTCTCAGAAGAAAAAGTCTTGTTTGACTTCCTAAAGTTTTCTGTCACGTAGACCAGAATAATTCTGTGGAGATTTTTATTTTGTTAAGACACTGCTTTGGCTTTTATTGCAGCCCTTGGATTCACCCATTTCTCTGTCAGAAATACCTGTTTTGATGTCAAAGGTTCTGGTTTAATTCCCAAAACATAGAAGGAACGTGTAGCATGATCTGATAACTGATTGATCTGATAACTGACTGATCTAATAACTCCAATAGAAGATGACCACTAAGATTAATTGCAATTAAGCCTTCTGTCTTTGGTGAAGGTGCTGAAGCCACTTCTAGCAATGTGCCAGCCCATCAGAGGAGCGCTGTCTGTGCTGAGCTGAGTTCCTTTTGCCTTCTAGCAGAGGGCTCCAGTAGCAGCAGTGTAGGCAGATGCTGCTCAGACACACAGACCACTGGCTCCTTGAGGGAGACACTTCTGGCAGCCAGGGTGAGAGGAGCCCAGAGTCCTGGAACAGCCTGTGCTTGACCCCTCACTTAGATGTCATCTCTGACTAAGTTTTACACTGCTAACTGAGCACTGCTAACTAAGCACAGCACATTAGTCTGGTCTGATGTGGAAATTATTCCCAGGTCCATAATTGCTGTACTTCACTGAACTGGAATATGCACAGATTCAGCAGAGTGTTTCCAGCCTGTAACCACACTCAGCTGAGAGTCACACATGCTAAATTCACCATCAGCCACTCAGCTGTGAGCACAGGGTTAAAGATTTAACCATTCCAGAGTTATTTGCAAGACATATATTTTTCTGGGTAACAAGATGAGAATATTCCTGTTGCACACATCATCCTGAAATGGCCCATGTCAGCAACTGGATGAATAAGGCTGCCACTGAATGTCAGCCATTAGAACTGTAATTTAACTTCAAATAATAAGCTGTAGAATATACACTGTTTGGCCAGTAATTTCCTAAATCTTGGATCAGCAATGATAGAAAAAAGTCCTACAGGCTGCTGTTAAACAAAACAAATTCCACATGCACTTACACAAGGCACCAGATTGATTATATGACACAATACAATATAGGTCAGTGGGAAGGAGAAATGAACCACGGCAGAAGTTTAATTTTTTTTGCCAAACCTATCCTTTTCAACAAGGCTCGAAAGCTGAGGACAGATTGAGTCATTTTTTATGGCAAAGGCAATATATACATCTAGAGAAGTAAACTAAAACTCTGCCACCACCACTCTAAGTAGTGTTGGATGAAGACTTTTATAGATAAGTTTATTTCCTTTGTGATTTTGTGTTTTATTCAACACACTCATTATCAATTCTTAAGGAAAATAGTGCAAGCTCTTCTCTTTTGGTTTGATCCAAGGGCAAAACAAGTCAGAGAGAGTTTTCTCACTGTCTGGAGCAGATCCTTTATCTGTTTGCATTTTTAGTGGGATTAATTTTGAGCTGCTTGGTTTATAAAAACAGGGATTAATTTAATTCCTCTAACTTTCCCTACCTGGCGCTGCGCATCAGAGCTGTAGACCACTGAAATCAGTTTGTACAAGCAGAAAAAGCCAGGCAGAAAAGCAGGAAACTCAGGAGGGTCTCTACTCTGACTGTCAGCCCTAACATAGCCTAATAACACAGGTGTCCTTCACAACAGCTTTTTATCCTCTTCCTGAAGGTCTTCAGTAGAGAAGGTTCCACAGTCTATTCCAGTATCTCAGGACCTCTACTGGTATATATTTTACAAATATTAACCTGAAACTGTGTTTCTGCATTCAAACCTACTGATTCTCTCTCTAGAGAGGCCAAGAACCTATTACTGCCTCATTGTAGGAGCAGCCTTTCGATATGTAAAACCTTCCACCTCTTCACAGATGTGTTCTCTCAGCAGTCCTTGCCCAGCGCTTCCAAGGGCTCTTCCCTCATGTCCTAGCTGTGTTGTGGTGCAGTGCTGGA